GGCATCGTCAATCAACTAGTGGTGAAAACGGAGCGTAAGAGGAACAACGACTAAACCATCCTGTGCTCTCGGGGATTTCAGGGCCCATGGCGCCTGTCCCGTCACACCTACGATGGTTGAGCCGTTGGGTAAGGTGTTGAAACACCCAATTCATCAGTGTGTAGGATGAGGGTGAATCAACTCGTCCGCCCATGTATTGAAGTCCCTCTTCACATGACAAGGGCCAGTTGGCAGCCCCCCTTGATGCAGAGAAAGGGCCAGTTGCATCAAAATAGCCGCCGTCGGTGTCCTCCAGGTCGATTGATTCAGCATGTATGCGGAATTGAAGCCGGTTACGCGCTTTTTCTGATCAAGAAGGAGGAGCGAGCCCAGCATCTCCAGCGAAGGGATGTTGGCCCCGGATTGGTCTTCAGGAAGGCCTATGGAAAGCGTGTCTTCTGCGTGTGAAGTTGAAACTACCAGACTTCCTCCTTCGAAATTCGAAACTGGGTCTTTGTCACTGAGCTCATCGCCCGCACTGGCATCACTGGCACCCGCCAGGGAGATGGGGGGCAGAAAGGGGTAGGTTCAGTTCAGCAGAGCTTGGCAAAAGTCCGAGCCAGTCGGTTTGGTCTGCCGCTTGACTCGACTGCTCCCTTCCATTCCCATAATGGTTGGAGCAAGGGTTTGGTCAAGGGCACGTAGATGTTGCCCATTGCAGTCTGCCCATGATGCTGTCCAAATCCCTGGGTGTGAACACGTCCTGTTTGGAAATTCTGTGGAGCATCTCCAAGACCTTGTTGTGTTTCTCCTTGGCCATTTGGACTATCGGTCCCGCTGGTTGGGTGTTGATAGGTCCCAGGAGAGTCTTCTTCCAGCTCAGGGGAGTGCCCAACACAAGTAGGGTAGCCAGGAGGGCGCATGTATAAAGTGGAGCGTCTGTTGATCGGACGAGCCAACAAAAATCATCCACGGACACAAAGGCCCAGTCCACAATGGGAAACAGGTAGAATAGAGTTGGCCTGAAGCCACTCCATAGGTCCCGACTTTTTTGACTGACCAGTCACCATCAATTTGGGCAATCTGGTACTTCCAGTCCGTCGGTTCGATCTTTATTCGCTGGTGGGCCTTCGATCAGCCTCCAGGATCGACAAATGTGTGTCCTTGGAGGGGGCAGGGCTCCAACACAGTGGTCCATGTTGGGCCCGCAGCGCACCTCGTCAAGAAAGGCGGGAGGAAAGGGGTGGGACTTGGCTTTCTGGTTGATGGATGTTGATGGAATGAGGGACTGTCGCAACAGGGGATCACAGAGTCCCAGGATCTTCTTGCCCTGACTGGCCAGGGATGTCTTGACTCGCAGGGGAGGGGGTTTGCCGCCTCCATCACGGAGTGGTCTGGTGCGGAACCCAGTGGGGGACCATCAGTTCGTCCAGGAGGGAAAGCATGGCCGCTTGTGAGTGGACTGGCGTCTTTCTGTTCCCCTCCCTGACAGGTGTGGGGCCCTCCTAGCCAGTGGGCGCAGCCGGAGCTCGGCAAGGTTTCTTCCCGTGGGGGTCGGAGGTTAGCCCAGGTCCCCAACCGGGACAGCCGAAGAGGAGGTTCCGCAGGAGCACGGGTCGATCTCCATGGGCGCTGAGGCCCCATCAACGGCAGCCGCCGCAGGTGTAGAAGAGCTCGAGGTCACAGCAGCCGCAGCCTCACCCAGGGGCGTTTCACAGCCGGCGTCTGCACCCCCAGGAGGCTGCCAGGAGGGGAAGCCTGGAGCTGAGCCATGGCAGCATCCATCTCCTGCATCTTGGCCTGCCAAGCATCTTGCGTGAGCAGCTCACACTTGACGGAGTGCGAGTCTTCCTGGGCACCCGGGGCCGTTGGATCAGCCAATGCATCAGCAGCACGGCCTGCCCCTTCCAAAATCGTCTCCTCAAAGCGTCCAATCTCTTTCTCCCGTTCCTCCGCCTCACTTGGATCAAGAGTGAAAGAAGTCACCGAAGGGGCCTCATCCAAAAGGTCCCAGTCAAAAAGGGCAGATCCAGAGCCGGACATGGCTGCTCAGCAATGAAAGGGGGGATCACGGGAGTGCGTTTTTCACTTTGAGTACACAAGCTTGAGCGAAAATGGCACAGCATTTTGAAATGTATTCCTGAAACATAACCTTGCTTTCCATAGGTTCCAAGCACGTACTAAATATATGTGTATATAATCTGTATATATATATATATAAATATAATATTAATCCTTTCCACCTTGACACAGCCAGAACCGTATGTCAGCAAAAGGAAAAACGAGAGCGCTCTGCATCACAAAGCGCGTGCTTGAGCTCTTTAACTAGTCATGCGCGGATTCTTGTTGCGTTATTTGTACATGGCTACGGCTACGGCTCAAGGATGAGAGGACCCTTATTGTAGCATCAATGCTCAAAATGTGCCAATTTTTTGCACTCTGCATCATACAACCCTAGACCTGGAACGATTTGATCAGCTTCAATCAAGCGGCCCCAGCCATTGAAAGGTCTCCGGCACAGTTGGCAGCTCGTGCAGGCCGGTGTAAGCAGTCATAGCATTCCTGGCAAGCTTCTCCATGGAACAGGGCGTCCCAGCAGAATCTTAGTCTCACAGCATTCTCAGGATGTCAAACAAATCAAAAACTGGTACTGCACACTTAAGCATCTGTGGTATACACTTGTTTGATACATGGCGCAGTGTGGTGTCGCATCGCCGCACCGCTCCATATTTTGCCACAAGTTTGCTCAGTCTGGATTTCGAGGGAGTCGGGGGAGTTTTGGGCTGCAAGGCACTTGGAACTCACGGCATTCAACTCCCTGACTGTCGTGAGCTTCCTCCAAATTCGACAGGTGATCGAAACGTTTTACAACGTAAGATGGCAGTGATGCAAAGCGTTTACTTGCGTCATGCACAGGAGAGAAAGAGACCACATCACCTTCTTTCAATGTTTTTTCAACACCTTTTTCCATCCGTTCGTTGTTGATGTAGGTTCCATTGGTGGAGAAATCCGAAATACAAAGTCGGTAAGCCTGATCCATGAAAGCCAAGCGGAGTTCTGCATGATGCGTTGAAATGCAAGAGCTCTTTAGCTGCAAAGTGCTTTCTTTGGCACGACCAATGAGTAACTTGGGATGCCATGGGGCCAAACATAGTCGTGGCACAACATCGGATTTTGGGCTGGCTAAGCGTAGCTCAAAGACTGGTCCAGGGGCAGCATGTGGTGGTTTGCTCGGCAAAACAGCTTCATTAGCTTGGGAGGTATTTGGGGTGAGCTGGCTTTCAAGAAGCTTCTCGTAGCGCCCAAAGGCCAGCTTCAAAGGTGACAAGGAGTGAATGCGTCCGCACAAAGGGTTGCGCAAGCAGCGGAATGCAAGAACTTCGTAGAGTGCAGCTGCGGACTTTGGGGTTGTGAAGTGAATCAAAAGGGTCACATTTTCAGAATCTTCCGTCTGCCACGTCACTCGCACTTCATTGACTTCTCCAAAAGTCCTGGCAAAGTCATGCCAATGAGTTCCTGGAGTGCACACCATGCCGCGAGATGAAGGACGATTCGCGCCGGCAAAGAACCATGTACATGGCAATGAAACAGTCGCTGTGTTTGCCTCCAGAAGACGTGGGTTGACAGATGCGTGCAATCTTTGGAGATAGCTTTTTGAGGTAGTGTCGATGGTTTCTACCCAGCTAACTGTTGCGAACCTGGCCAATGCTTTGCCGAGCTTCCTCTTCTGGTACTTCTCAGCCAATGTAGGGATGTTTCTGCCCCTCAGACATATGGCGGCAGCCAACCTTCCAGGTGCCTCCTCCACGATCACTGGTTCGAAAGAACCCGCTTCCTCGGCCAGGTCTGCTGCCAATTCTTTGCGCAAAGCATGGCAGGCTCGGCGGGTGGTATAGCCATGCACTCGGAGGCGGAATTTGGCCCAAACCACAGCAAGAACTTCTACGGCTTTTGCATCCCTCCATTTTCCCACCCGACCCTCCCAGCTCAACAGTGGGCGAGGCTTGCGAGTGCGCCGGGCTGGTGACGGAAGCTCTTGAGGTGGCATATCGGAAACAAAGGTAAAAGTTTGTGGTGCTTGTCAGAGTATCTGAAGATTCTCCACAACTTCTGAACCTGGTATTCATGCTCGCATGCCTCCAGTGCAAAGCTGCCTCACATACTCCCTTTGGAAGCCAAAACGCTGCAAAATGAACGCTTGTCAACACCAAAGATCCCATACAAAGGACACGTAAATTATTGAATTGCAAGAATGCCACATGAACCTCTTGTGCAAAAGCATTCTGAAAGGATCTGACACTTTCAATCATTTTCATGAGCAGTTTGCTGCCCTGAATGGTCCTTGTGTGAAATGCAGCCGCGCGGCCCCTCTGCGCTTAAGCCAGGCCTTCCTTTCAACTAAAGCCCCGTAATATTGATGCATCGCCAAATTCTACATCAAACCAGTCAAAAAGCGCCTGGGTGTTCAGCAAGTAGGTCGGTTGCTGGGATTGAAATAAACAACGGAGGCAAAGCATCCATTCCAGATTAGGCAGAATTTGTTGCTCCTAGCACTTGTGAACTGACCACCTCAACAAACTAATGTCAAGATATGTCAAGTTCCGACATGATCTGGCCTGCAACCTCACAACCGTGACCAAGCAACCAGCAGCTCATGCACAGGATGAGAAAAACGCAGATTACAGCCAATTCAAGCCATGCTTACCGGGATTTGCTTGAGAAAGTGCTACCTCTTTCGTCTGCCGTGCTCTCGCTCTCTCAACCTCTCATGTGAGTTTGCACGAGAGGACGTGACAACACAGTAATCAGCCCGGTGTCTTGCAGACTTTGGCTCACCGAAGCTGTGCCCTACTAACTCTTCCGTAACAGCACCCCCCCGAGAAACTTGCGCAAACAATTGACACAGGCACAGTCAGGCACAGCCTCAGGGGCAATCGGCTCAAAGCCCAACTGCAGCCACTCCCGAAACCCTTCCAACATCGGTCTGGTCTTTATATATATATATATAATAATAACGAACTTCTTGGAGTTGAAGCAAGATTTCGAGTTGCTTCCTCAATGTCCTCACCTCCTAAACGTCTGAGGTCCCGCTTGCTTTGCAAGCGGGCAGGAAAAACATAGCATCACCAACGCTGCCCCTCAGGGTCAACTCCTGGCTCACAGAATCTCATAGATGGTATAGTTTTGCTGTCTTGTTCCACCTTGTTCCCTCAGGGCACTGCGCACAGCTCATCAAAGCCAAAGGCAGGGAACATGTTGAAAAATCATGCGTAGTCAATCCGATCGTGTGGCGGTCCACCATGCTGAGTTTCCAGCACCCTACATGTATATACCTATAGATGATGTCTTGATATGTCTTGCACTAATAATCTAATAAACTAAGCTTGTTCTCTTACACCCCCGCAGCTACGTTGCTTTCTCCTGCTGACTGATTGCCATGCGAAGCAATGATCTGCAGGGTAGCTAGGCCAGCTAGGCATGACCTAGTGTCTCCCAGTACCCAACGACGCACGGAGCTGGCCAGAATTGCCTGTCCTGGTCTTGCCAGGGCCCCCGTTACTCCTTGAGCAATGGATGTCACCCACCGCAGAATGGAGCAAAATCATGGGCAGTGATTATGTGGTGCCAAAGGCTTGGGCTTCAATGCGCACATCCTGGAACACAAATATGGACCGACAGAGGGCGCCTTACTTCAAATATCTTCAAATCTTATCAGGCTCCCTACACCGTGCCAAACACATCCAAACACAAGGTTTTTCAAGTCGCAACAGTCTCGACAAATCGTTCAATGATATCAACATATTGCATCACCATTCAGCACTCGTTGTTGGAAACACTCTCGGTTGGGACACAACCCCCATAACCTGTTCTGAAAGCCATGAAGTTGACAGCACGGGGCCCCGATGATCTCATCATCACCGTGTCGAACTCTGCAAAGGTAGGGGGGGGGCCAGTTCATACATTTCTCCTTTTTGTATCTTTTTGTATGCCGGTGGGCAGCCCTACTCCAAATTGTATGAAACCATGGGGTCGAACAATTCGTGGTAAATCATGGAAAACTCTCGAAAATGACTATCTTGATAATGTCGGAAGCAAAAGGGGGGAAAACCGCACTGAAAAGAATTCCTTTTTCAGGGAATGATGGAAATGTGCCATGAAAGGGGTCCATAATCATCATATTAGTCAAGTTTCAACTTCCAAGCAAAACACAAGATGGAACCAATGGAAAACCACGAGTCCGAGTGCGCACACGCATTTGAAAACAAACTGCCCAACATGGTCAAACATTGTTTAACACTCTTGTGGGGCAATTTTGCGGGACATGCCAAGTCTCGAAAACGAGCGTTTCGTACGAGACACCGTGGAATCAAGCGTCAACTCTCCAAAGCGAGCGTTGCATACGAGGCTTCCTCCATAAGTCACGCGTCAAAGTCTCCAAGACAGGCGTTTCGTGCGAAATTTCCTCCACAAGTGAAGCGGGAAGCGGGTGAATCACATCAAGTAGCCCTGCCCAGCAGTTTCGCAACCCCAGCCCCTCAAAGCCACAGCCACGGACACACCAACCCCAATGCTCGGCGACGTTCACCTTCAAACGTTGCAACCTCACGAAACTCGATTTCGACACCTCCCACATAAAGTATCACAAAGTGCTGCGCCTGCCACGAAAAGCGGCGACATGACATGACATCTTCATGTCTTTGCACCGCACCAAACGATTGTCATGACTTCAACACTCTCTGAGCACACTCACACCCACCAAAGCCACCATTCTATCTGAGCTTCGAGGCAACGGCCTGAAACGCAAATCCCACTGTCACAGGACATCTAACACCTCCAACAAACCACCCTGCGAACGCCAATCATCGCCAATCCCACTGTCACAGCGAAGGACGCTGCACCTGCATGTTACGTGTTTGAAAACCTCCAAAAGTTTCCCCCACTGTCACAGTCTTACCGATCACATTCGGCCGCTCGCGGACGGTTGCGAACATGAAAGCGACATCACGCGAACACTGCTCTACCCTCAGACTATCTCAGACTCCCAAAGTTAAACGAGAACCCTTTGCTGCGCATTCACTTCCCCGGGAATGACCTCTGGAGACAGGGAAATGTACATCGATAGGAGGGGCACCCCTCTTGAATATAGATTTATGTGACCCACTGAATCCCGGAGACATCACATCTTCAAAAGAAGGCTTGTATGTTCAACATCGTCCCTCCCAAAAATCAAAACGATGAGTGAAACCTCATGTTGTCCAATATGCAGTGATAGCCTTCAGGACCAAAAAGAAGCCACAGCATGTTCCGGAATCACTTTGGCTAATTTGTAATCTAGTTCAAGACCTGAAATCGATGCCTTGATTTGGAAACGGAGCTTTGCTTGGATGATGTGACTGAAGCTCCCTTGGCCGCATCCGGCCAAAACGGAATTGTTGGAGCTCAACATTTGCCAAAATGCTGTGCCAACATGCCAGATCGATTTTGATATCTAGAGTCTTCAGGGGTTCACAAACAATCTGCAATTGGGAGCCCCATTGAATCTGTATATGTACAAATTGGGATTGACGCCAACAAACAGTGCAAGCTGAAGTTCCACATTTGCTATGAGAGGAAGCGATCACTAGACCTTGCTTGAGCACCTGTGCCCCTCATCAAAGCATATCCCAGCATTGCAAACAACAAGGTGCCGAGGCCCTGGCAGAGCTGATAACCCTGTCTGACCTCAGCTCACGCGGAGCTGATTGCTTGTCGGACTGCGTCCCACTTCCTAGAACCTCCTAACGAACTTCAGTGTCCCAGCGGCGCTTGTCTTGCTGGGGAAGGTTTTGAGCGTCTTGAGTTGCGCCATCTTCATTTCTGTGAGCGGTGCTCGGGGCTAGAGTTCATTGAAGGTGTTGTTGATAAGCTATGATAAGCTCACCTTTTCCACCATGGAACTGGATGAGCCTGTCGGCCTTCTGCCCATGTTGTTTGCCCACTTCGGTGAACCTGAGATGATCTGAGCACTTGGACGCTCTGCCGCTGGCTTTTGGGGATGCATCTTTGGCCTTCGACGGCACAAGGACATACAGTAACGCAATGGAGAAGTTGCAAACTGAACGAGGCACATGTTCAGGTAAAGTGAATGCCGAAGCAAGTGAAGCTTTTGAGTCCGCCGGGAGCTTCCATACATTCCACTTAGGTGGGGTGCCTTCAGCAAATGCAAACTTATATATATATATATATGGCCCAGCTGCTTCAAGCAATGCAGTCTCAACCAAGCTTACGGCACGAGTGCTGAGGCGAGCCTTCCAAAGGCGCAAACGCGAACCTGTTTAAGTTTCTTCCTACACAAGCTCACCACCAGCAGCACCCAGAGAATCCCGCTTCTGGTTTCAGTCGCTGCGGTGTCACTTGTGATGCGACAGGCGGAATCACATGCAAACAATAGCAAAGCCATTCAGGATTCAGGGGCACACTGTAGCATCCAATTTATTTATTTATCCAAGAAACTGCTGCATGACAGTGGTGAGAGCATCATTGACAGAAGTGAAATTGCGTATGAAGAAGGTTTTTTCCCATGTCTAACTCGTAACGAACGACTCAGCTTCGGTTTGTGGCTCCTTGTCCGCATGCTCATTCGCTGCTTTAAATGGCCTGGGGTTGCGATGCGCATGATGCGCCACTGCTGGCACTTTCAACTACCGAGTTCAAAAGGCATGTTTGGTTACTGCTGCTAATCAAATTTGAAGGCACCTCACTCTGCAACGTTCTCCAAAAATGGCTATGGGTCAATATCGGGGGGACCTTGGTTGACCATAGAAAATGTACCAGGGTTTAGGGCTCCGGGTTGTGACCCACAGCCAAATCTTAGCAGAATCAACTCAGCATCAATATGCATCAATCTAGCAACTTTAGGACTTTAATTTGAGTGACTCAATCTCCTGACAGTTGCTCTGTGTACCCTGGCATGCCCATGATGTCCGGCTCTGGCCGCACACCGTGGACATAGCCTGCATAGCCTGGCCTTGGTTGGAACAAGGGTTTCACCTTTGAACGAAACACGCGCAGGCTACACATGCGCGGTACAGGGCCAGCGAGCCTTTCTCCTGTCTGCTCCTCAAGCTCGATTGCTGTGCAAGAGTTAATTCATGTTCGTTCTTCATGTCACGTGCTGTTGTCCTGTTATGTTGTCTGGCTCCTTTGCCGTGGCCCGTGCTGCTCATTGACTGTCTCAGCTCTTTGACAAAGCATGGGCATAAATAGACACGGAATTCTGGTGCATCTTCAGGCGGTTACAACCAAACGACTCTGTGAAAAAGCTGTGGGGGAGACTAAAGGTCACACGCACCAACCTTGCAGGAACCACACAAGACTGAGAGTGGGCATCTTGAAAACAAAATGCGGGGGTGAAATATTCAAAATCTGGCTGCATCGGGTCCAAAGTCCCGAGGGCTGGGCGAACTAGAGGGGACACATATATAACGGTGTGGAATTAATGTATGATCTTATGTAGCCCAGCACTTCAGAAAACATGTATTGACGTGCACAAACAAAGGCGTTTTGAAGTCATGCCAATGGATACCAATCGCATCAATAGTGTGCGGGAACCTGCTGAGTGATGGAGCTCCCGAGCGCCAAGGACCTTCCTTTGCAGGTTAAGTCGGTTCCAGAGAAACGGTTTCAGGGTTTTAGGATATCGTCATCACTTTTGTCTGCCAAGCTGGAATATGCCATTGACAATCAAAGGCATACTGCTTTGACCATGCGTCTCCCGACCTGGGGATTTTACACTGCTTTGCCAGGCGCTGCTCCAGCTCCAAGCCTGTGAGGTGCCACCTGAGAGCTCTGACATCGCAGAATGGCAAGACTCACGGCACATCGAATTCGGCCAGCAGCCACGATTGCAAAAAAACAAAAATCAAAAACCTGCCAGTTCACATGTTCACATACTTTCGGCCAACGTTTGGAGATGCTCTTTTCCAAAGGCAAGCTCAAAAGTTGGTCTACATCGAGGCCGCCTGCCACTCGGAGGAAGGTGCTCCCAAGAACACTCCAAGGTTAGACAAACCACATGCCATGGATTCTGCCTTAAATCTTTTCAGGTTCAATCCTTTCAAGAACCACTCAATTCTCCGCATCAAACTTTTTCGCAATCTCTTTGTCCGTTTCTCGAATTGCAGAAACGAATCTACGATGCGAAAACCGTCACAGGGACTGCTGTGCCAAGCCAGAACACAACGGCTTTGGTCTGTTGAAGCCCAAGAGGAACTGGGAGTAACGAGAGATGACGGAGAAATAGAGAGCTCATGACAAAACGGTGAACACTGAACACCGTATTAGAAACGGGGACGGGGAACAGGATCAAGCAGGTCTGTCAGGTGATGCCACTCACCAGTCAAAGACACCACAAGCGCACTCAAGGGACGAACATACTAGCACTCAAGTCGGCTACTAGCGGTCAGCCCTGAAAGTCACATCACCCGTATGGGCACGGCCCAACAAAAGTCCAAATCCCATCAAATCCCACGGGCACATCGAGGATCAAAATGGCAATACATTGCAACAAAACGATGGAAACCATGCCCACACCCGTGCATTTGCTACGTATATTTGGAATATTCTTTTGTTGGCTTGCTGTAGCACATCCCACAACCACAGCGCCGATGAAACGGTTTTGTGCTGAATTTGTTTCATACCACAAGAGGGCACATGCTCTTATATATCCTTTTGTCGTTTTTTTGTCTAATTTTTAATGATGTTTCTTTTGTCAGCTTGACAACATAATGAGAAAAAAATAAATATATGGTTTCCAACCTGTGGCTGCCCAAGTGCCTTCTAACGCTACCCACTACTACTAACAAGGTGCATCGCTACTAGTAGCAAGGTGCTTCGCTACTAGTAACAAGGTGCATCGCTACTAGTAACAAGGTGCATCGCTACTAGTAACAAGTGCATCACTACTAGTATTATCACACTTTACATGTCTGGCCTTGATCTGCTTTCATGGCCAAGTTGCTGCTCCATAGCCCTCAGCGGGACCATCAGGCACCGCTCGCATCAAGTTTTGCAGAACGGATGAAAAACACAACGCTGAATATATTAACACAATTATATACATTACTAAAAAAACCCGCTTGGTGTAGCTGTGTGGCGCTCGGCAAAAGCAGTTGCGTGGAAGTTGGTGGTATCAGCATTGAGCCTGAAGGCAACAAACTCACAGCAATATTCAATCATTCGACCTGCAGCAAGAAGCGCTCACGCCCTATGGTCACATATCTATAGTTTAAGGGCGTGGCTTTTGCAAAAAGTCCCACCCACAATTTCTACAATACTGTACAATCCTGCAGTGCATTGCAGCTTCCTTTTCATTCAATGAATCACCTACATGTACACCTTCTCCATCTATATAGCGATAGCGGCCATATTTGGGCCATAGTGCCAATTGACCCACCAGCGAAGGAACGCTACAATGATCTCTTCAAATCGGCGGCATGTTTGTCATAAAGCAGGATGTTTCCTCTTCTTTGCTTCGTGCTGTGGCTCGGAAGCTTGGGTTCCCGGCTCCATGAATGCTGCAACTTGACGTGGCGAATTTCCTCTGCATGCTGCGTCATCCTGGGCAGGTCTTAGAAGTGTAACAGCTCTCAAACAATCTTGCCTTGGGTTCAACTGCAGGCAAGTTTCTGCAATCCGGCAAAGCCTGCAGTGCCCGCAAGAAAATCATTAACAATATTTCATCAAGGTGATTTGCATGTGATTGTTCTACCTTGGCAAACAGCCCTGAGCAGCCCTGAAATGCAAGCACAGCTGCAGCAGCAAATGCAATCATCCCACTCGTCATTCGCCTAGCTCCGCGCACGCCAAAAATACAAGATAGGCAAAAGCTGCGAACTCAAAGCAAAAGGCTAGGGCCATGACGCGATGGAACTCGTCCTTGACTAGACAATCAAACAAGCCCATGAATCTTCTAAGTAATTCATGGGTATTTGAATGTATGTGATTAATATTGATTAGTATATTACCGTAGTCAGTACGAGTAGTTCTTAGTCTTAGTTCTATGCACGGACTTCAGCCTGGTCCTACCTACTTACCTCCTTCGGAATGACGGAGTTTCCTGTATCAAGAAGCGGTTGCCGACGATTGCAAAGGGAGTGCAGCAAAAAGCCTCGGCCGTTGCTCATCTCAAGGCCAGCCGAATCCACCCTCTGTTCGTAGCGATGCCCTTTGCTCCTAGTAGCTTCTAGCTACTTGTAGCAATGCCCTTGTTACTAGTAGCGATGCCCTTTGTCACTAGTAGCTTCTTGTTCCGTTCCTAGTAGTAAGGCCAGGAGCTACTAGTAGCGTCCTTGCTCCTAAAGCAAAGCAAAGTTGCCTTCTATCAGACAAGGAGCCTCTGCAAAAAGTCCAACTTTCGGTGCGTCAAAGGGCCTGCGCCGGACATGACATAGCCGCTTATGTTTTGAGATGTTTTGAGTCTGTCCCAAGTGCCAAGTTGCAATTCCAAGGTTGGGCAGCACCAGCCACCTATCAAAAACAGTACATGACTGACCAAAAAACTTCCGGATGCAGCTTCTTCAAAGCGAAACCCACATCCGCATCCCGTCCGTGTTGCATCAACTTGAGACGCTGACACCTTCCGAAGCAGCAACCCCAATCCTGAAGACGCAAAGAGCATGTAGGGCCCCAGTTGGCAACTTGAGACTAAATGACGACAAACAATAGGCCAAAAGAACTTGTTTTTGGGAGAAATGTGAGGGAAGAATTAATTAATGATTGTGCGAAACATCGCCAAGAAGTACGCCGGGGTGAACCCACCCCGGGGATCCACCACAATCCTACAGCCGGTCAAGTAGTTGTGACCATTTTATTCGTCCCTGTGTCCATTCAGCATAAGGGGGGTGGATACAGACTTTACAGACATGAACCTCCCTGGGAAGATCTGGCAACATGGAAGGGACGGCCATAACCTGAATTGAAACACTGTTGAATGGGGAATCATGGAGCATCCCTACGTCAAAATCTATATACAGTCAGGCTCACAGTATATGTTTTCTACACCCCTAAACTGCCAGTTGGATGCATACGAGTCGGTGTTCTAAACAAATTAACAACACTATACTGCTTATGAGCAAGTCAGTATTTATAAGCGGGAAAGATGTGACTCACCAATGACCAAGTGGGACTCAGAAGGCAGGCGTAGATTGAGTCAAAGATCTCTGAGTTGGGGCCAGAAGACAGCGAAGAGACTGGATCGTCTGCCTTTTTTTGGGGTGCTGCGACAGGTAAGTTAAGGGTAACCCACCTCGTGGCATCAGTCCGTCTCCAAGCCACATATGATTTGGCAGGGTCACTTGACAACATTGGTTCACTTCGCGCTATTCCTAACCAAACAGGTGCTTTGAGGTTGTCAAGTGTACAAGCCTGAACTTGTAAGGAAACTGGAGGGATCTGGTGGCGCACGGGCCCGGGCACTGGCGGCGAGATGGCTGATGTCTGGGAGTGGCCGCCAACGTGAAGCAAAAACAGCACAGAAAAACTTGCCTCTAGGCACTGCGCACGACGACGCCCTTTCGAACCTCCCCTCCCGTCTCCATGGCAAACATTGCTGCCAAAATTCTGCAAACCGGCCACCGCAGCAAATATAGGGCTGCTTGCTGAGCTCCAAGATTTCCTGCAAAAGCAATGGTGCTCGTGCAACTCAGCAGGAGCAAGCCAGTACGACCTCGGGATACTCACCGAGATATTTTAGCTGCTGATGGCGGCTGTTGCTGCATTTGTAAATTCCGATTAGTCATTGTCATTATATAAACATTAGTCTGCACCCTCTCCTGTCGTTGATACCATGCCATGCAGCAGGGGCAGGCTGAAGCCATGCCTCATTCAGGCCCATGTGCTCTCAAATCTTTTAAACAGGACAACAGCAAAACCAAAGCTCGAAATAGTTGTGGTCAAGGGGCAACAAGTGGCAGGATCATAGCAGCAGGCGAACTGAGGTTTCACACGCCAAGATCCTGGGAGGCCTGAGCTCAAGCAGGCCACCTCCCTCGAGCTCCACGTTTTGACAAACCAAATTTATCCAAATTTTGTATGTTCTGGCAGAGTCAATTAAAGAAGGGTTGTTAGATGTTGTTATAGGACATCCTTAGATTTAGAAACATTCAAGAAACGCGATGGAGGGCTGCATGCACATTCTGATCAATGTTTTTCTTGAAAAACACAGTGGGATTTGCAGCCCAGCAAGAAATATCCCAGCACACTCCGCACAGTGCACAGCGATGCGCACCTTCGTCATTCATTGCAACCTCATCCCTGTGCCTCGATGTCTGCCACTTACTTTGCAATCCACCTCCATCACGCACAACATCACAAAATACTGTGCCTGTTTACCATACCACAAATTTTGCCATACCACATGTAATTAAGGTTTCTTTGAAGCTTTCCAACATCATGTGCACAAGCCACGGGTTAATTCTTCCTGAGACTGAGGCTTCTCAAGAAAAAACAGGGCTTCGAAACCACTCCCCAAACAACAAATCCCACCACTCTGGAAATCCAAATTCCAGTGTTCAAGGAACACAACTTGTACACCTCACAAAGCACTTCACCAAAGCACACACTTTCACCATGCCCTCAACATCACATTCACACAAGTACCTGAAGTGCTTCTCTCAAGGGAGGAGCATTATATGAGCCCGCGCGAACTGTTGAACACTCAAGCTACGTCGGGCGAATCACTTGCGACCAAACCCCGATGTCAAATGTGAACCCTTCGCCATGATCAGGCTCGGGGGAGCTTCCTTGAAGAAGCCTGCGCTGCGGCGTACTTAATAGCTACAATAGCCAGTCTACATTACCTCCCTTACCCCTTACTTACTTAACTACCACCTCTTCTAGCAGCCTACACACAAAGCCCTGACGCAGCTAGACTGAGATCAGGGCCTTGGTCAGGCCCATCACCTCGGATCATGTTGGCCGTACAGAAATGAAGCAAAGTAATACCAAATAGAATACCTAATTTACCTAATAGCAAAAGGAACCTACTAGCAATAGCCTCCAACCTAATAGCATGGTTTGAAGTGAAGCCCATGGCCCAGGGAGCCCCCACCACAAAGCCAAAGAAGCAGCAAAGGTGAAGATCCAATCTCTCTGTCCTCGCGAGAGTATATCTTGGCGCTGCGAGCTGCAAAAGGCTTCCAAAAACACCCTCCTTGATCTTTGTTTGGGAAAGCGCCATAGTGAAACGTGGAAACTGGCCACCAACCAACCCAAGGCTGGCTTGAACAAACCAAACACAAGCTGGCCGCATCATTCTTAGGCTACTTGCCTTTCTGAGATCTTATGGTTGGTAGTTGGCCAGGGAAGACCTACAGTGATGGCGAGTGCCCTTCTTGGCACCTTGAGCCAGCAATCAAATCAACGCAAACAAAGGACATTCATCTCTCCGTTAAAAAATAGAGTGCACTATATACACAACATAAATCTACATAACACATATATCACCAAAAATGAGAAGTGCTTGACGTTCTTTCCATAGTGAAGTTGGCATTGCACACTCCGGACAAGTCCAAGCAGCCCTGCCCCAGGTGCTTCACTTCGCTTCCTCAGTCGCTATGGACGCTTAGGCATACTGTAGTCATAGCTTTTGCCAGAATGCTCATCGACTCAAGCTTGGCCCCGGGGCCATGTATGGCACCCTGGCCCAGACCTTTGGCAATTGCAAAGCAAACCCGGATCAGTGAGGAGCGCAACTCAGCTTACAGTTCAATCTACCTCGCGACATGATCTACAAAAGCAGACCGTAATGGTCAAAAAAACATGGTGGGGCTGCCAAGTTGGGTCTTTGGTATGCAAACTCCGGCATTTTGAAGGTCCGCTGGCGTCTTTCTTTCAGGCCAGCATCCTTGTATCCTTGTGATTTGGGAGCCCAGCTCTTCCACTGCAGCTCGGGCATTGGCTGCTGCAAAGCTATGCCCTTCATGTGGAAAAGATCCAACTTCATTTTGCTTCATTGGACTTTCGAAACAATTGGTAAGCAACCCTTTTCCAAGTTCATTTTAATTGTGAATGATTCATGCATTGCCTTCAGCCGCGCCTACCACATTTTCGGCGTGCTTGCCTGCGACACAGCATCTTTGCCCTTCAAATCTGTTCACCTTGTCTGGAGCTTTCTTGGCATTTCAATCATGTTCAACTTCGGACTCTTTAAGGACATACACTGTACTGATCGTTGCAAGAATTCCTTCCGAAGTCCTTGTACTGTCAGCGAAGATAACCACACCAACAGTGCACCCTCTATGTTTTCTCCAGTGCGTCAGATCCTTCGAAACCCGACTCTTGGACTTCACATCTGGGCTTTCTACAACCTTTCTGGCTTCGCCTCTGAATTGAGTTGACCCACCGCAGCAAGCATGAAAACTTTAAGGTTTCCTAGTCCATTTTTCCAGTTGTATAGCTTCATTTTCTACCCACACGCACATGCACACACATGTATATTATATATATATATCTTCTTTCCCGATCTTTCACGCTTTCACGTTGACCTTTTCATCCTATTGGGAAACTAGTGAAGTAATTAGCCCTTGTGCAATAACATTTTTGGCACCGAGAATGCGCTCGAACCCACCCACCAAACCCACAACCTAGGAACTATATATGTGGTCAATGGTTTCAGCATCCCCCCCGTCCTAGAGTCATCACTCCACACTGCCACAGCAGCACACTTATTCCGTCAGCACGAACATCCAATGAATGACTCTTTTCAGGATTGTGTGATGTCAAGGTGTCTAAGCACAAAGTAAAGGAACCTTTGCCAGCAAATTACTTCATTATGCTGCAGCTGCTGGGCACTTTCTGTATGTACCACAAAATGCGTTCATCACTTGAGAACATTGCTGCTCAGTGTGACAGTGCAAATTTGTTGGGATCCCACAATACCTCCAAATAGGCTCCAACCCAAGGGCTTACCAAAGTTGCTTGCCCAATTTGACCCGGCCAAGAAAGAGTAAGAAAATGCAGCCGAGCACTTTGAGCTCGATTAGGTTCTGCCATGTTCTGCCCATGAATGTTCAGATTTCGTTACCTATGGTTTTCAAGCGACCCTTCTCAGCCTGGTACATGGCCTGAATATCCCACCACTGCCGCGACGGCTTTTCCTCACGACATGTTTTCTGCTATTCCATCTCCCACTATACAATTAAGCCATCGGGTTTGTTTGCCCTTAGTGAGATGGACGAGTCTACACTAAAGACTTTATGATTCATTTCATGTCATTTCATGTGAGTCTACTGTTAAGCTATGCAGCTGCAAGTCTAAATCACCCTGACCTGAGCCTGGTCGTGGTGTCACTGTCCCCTGGCAGCTAAAAGTGATCTTCCCCGTTGCAAAATCGAAAACGATTTCTTGTGTGAGCTGGTTACAATACAACCGAGGACAAACTTGGTCAATCTTCCCTCCTACTGACCTACTGGGTGGGATAGCACACCTTCCGCAAATCGTGGCTGCCCTCTGCCACGTAAAAACTTTGTATTATCCGTGTTGAAAAGCAACATTCTACACTATCACCAAACACAAACAGGTGAGTGACAATGCTATATACCGTAATATATACATACTATTACATACTAGTAGAATTACAGTATACGTGGTCAGGCTTGACTGCAATTCCTTTCAACCGACTTGCACTAAATTTTTTTTCCTGTCTCCTTCTTTTGAATCGTGCCTGATAGTTCCTGGCAGGTGAAGGCAGTGCCTCAATAAGGCTGTTGCCGGCTACTTCACTTACCCTCCAAGATTTAAACATCTCCACTTTGCTTCAACAACGGCCAACTCCGAGTCCGTTTGAGCAACATATTCGAGAACCAGCTGTCAGCATTCTGCCTAGCAAATAGCTGATGCATTCATCCCATTACACCGAAGATGGAGGGGAAACTGCTTCAATTGACACCAGCATCCAACAATCCTGCGCATTCAAGCTCTTCAGCATGTGAATGTGTGCTAGCAACTCTTGAAGAGGTTGAGCATGGTTTGTGGTTCGAACTTTGACAAAGCCGCCTGGTGAGCTTGCGCAGACTGGCTCGAGCAAGTTTCCTGATGCAACCCAATGCCAATGCAATTTCATAGGCTTGGCCATGCACTGCAACTTTCTGATGTTGGACCGCGCATTGCAAGGAAGAATGTCACAGTCCCTGCAATTTTGATGGTGTGGCCTTGCGGTCCTCCAACTTGCCAGGGACGTGGCCTGGGCGCCAAGTGATCTACATGAATTCCAAGCCCAATGGAGCTTTCCTTATGAAATATGCGGCTGAGGCAGCCACAAGAATGACCACTTGTCATATGTTTCATGAATTGTGTGAAGCCCGATTTTACCAACCTTAGCACATTTCAGTGGCCTACGGAACCACAGGTGCAGGGTACTCAGGTTCTCGTCCGCGGGGGCGCCTCTTGAGCTCAGACTTAGACGGAGCGTTAAAAGGGTGGCACGGACCGCCTAAGCCATGTTTTGATCCTCCTTCTTTGACCTCATCTTTCCGCTTTCGCACGACGTTCACAACCTACGCAACTTGGCGGTTTGACACATTGGTGCCGCGGAGCCTTGTACGTTCAGGGCCAGTTTTTTCCTTTTGGTTTGTCCCCTCGAGGCTTCTCAGAGAGATATCCAAAGATGTTGATCAGGGATCCTCCTTCAACAGGGTTCCTAGTTGGGATGGCCGACCTGAAACCTTTTTTCATTACATCACAGAGATCAAATGGCACTTGGCTGGAACGAAATCCTCAGTAGACCGTATGCAGCAGCAAGATTAGTTCGTCGCATCTTGGAGAGCGATTATCCTTCCCTCAAGTCCTTGGCCTACAAACTGGACCCAGCGGACTTCACTACCGAAGATGCTGTGACTCGTCTGATATCCTTTTTGGAGGCTTCGCCAATGAACCGGCAGCCAATTCCGGATGCTGGGCGGCAGTTGTCCGCCTACTACAGGCGACTCAGTAGCAAGCCACAGGAAACCATTCCTCAGTTTTTGGTTAGGGAAGAAACGCTGTATGACTCCATGTGGCGAGCCCTTCAAAGGTTGCTTCGGGAAAAGGAATTGGATTTCGACCAGTACGATTGCTCTCTAGATGAATTGAAAGATTTTTGCGGCATGGCGGACAAGTGTTTCTATGTCGCAGGGGAGTTTGAGCATGAGTCAACTCATGGGGCTTTTTCTCAGGGTTCCGGGAGCGGGAGCGGTAGCACTCATCCATCTCGTTTCGCTGGAAACCGTGAACCAAATGCAGAAGCAGAAGATGAAGACCTGCCACAGCCGCCGCTGTCCCGATCGCAGTCCGAATCTCACCACACTATGCCAATCGGTTCAAGTCCTCCGAAACCTTCCAAGCACCTTGACTTGATTGAGAGGTTGATGCAGAAAGGCTTGATCCCACTCGCGGCCTTAGACATTATTCGAGGCTGGCTTTTGTTGGAGTGCGCGAGTGCCACTGAACTGGACAAGAGTCTGGTCAAAGCAGCAACGCAAAACAAGCTCGGCTACCCGAACATTCGATCAGCCTTGTTGTCACTCCACGAAGACCGTGGTATGCGAGGGATCAACAATCCTCCCAAGGGTTTGGACGGGGCAAAGGACATATGGCAAACATAGTTGAAGATTTTGAGAGTGAGGACATGCAGTACCAAGACTATTGGGGCAGTAGTCATGACTATCCCGAGGGTGAATACCTTGAGGATGGTTACTATGGTGAAGAGTTTCAGGAGACCGCAAATGATCCTCAAGCTGAAGAGTCTGACCGAGGACCAAGCTTTGCGCGTGATTTCGCAGCTTCAAGAAGAAGAGAAAGAGCTGAATGCCATGATGGTTGATGCTCAGCGCAACTTGGAGCAAGCCAGACGTGCAGTCCAAGAAGCAAAGAAGGATCGTGCTGGAAGAGCTCAGGTTCAAAGGGTTCTCCACCACACGGTTCCCAGAAGGGCACCAGCACGTTCATGCAGGGCAAGGGACATCGGATGTAGACCAATTTCTTTCAGCAGAAGAGGCATGGGTTTCATGGCAAGGGCGGCTACCACAACCGTGATTTTGTTTCCTCTGGTTGGCGTCCACCGCAACAGAATCGTTTTGCAAGGCATTCAAGCTTTCAGAATAGGAATCAGATGTCTCAGAGACCTTCCTCTCATGCTGGGATGTTCATGGAGCCTCAGGAGCATCACATGATGACCATGACAGACATGATCCTCGAGGCAGAATTTTCACCAGACCTTTCCTTTTTCCCGGTGAGCCAAGCGGATTCACGCGCTGCCATCCAACCTGAAGAGGCTATCATCAATTCAGGTGCAACGGTGGCAGCCGGTGGCGAGACAGCTGTGAAGAACCTCCTTCACAGTTTGACCCAATCGCGGACGGACCTTAGCTTGACAGTCCTCACAGAAGATCGGCCATATGTCCGCTATGGATCGGGATCTTGGGGTCAGGCTAGTTACAAGGTGAAGCTCCATTTTGGTTCCATTACCCTACAACTGTATGCACTTTCTATTCACCGGGTGTTCCTGTTCTGTTGGGTATGAGAGAGATGCAACAACTATGTATGATTGTGAACCTCTCCAATGGTCATGCAGTTGTTTTGGGCGAGATGAGACACCTCAGAATGACTCCTAAGAGACAGATTCTTTTCAGTTTCTTGCAGGACCTTCAAGCTCAACGACAACAACATCCTGCGGCCAGAGCTCAGAAAGCCGATTTTAGGACAGACCGAACTCGTTCATCAGCACGTGTGGCACAGCAGTCACAACAAGTGATGACCCTTTTAGATTTTTCGTTTGAGCCCAATTTTGAAGAACAGCCATGTTTTGTGGTACAAGAATCACAACAGTCCTACTGAATCTGTGACCCAACATGGCAAACAACAAGATTCAGGCGGCAGTGGAGCGCGCTTTGGCCTCAGCTTCGGCGAAAGTGACGCCGAAGGCAAAAGCTAAGAAGGGGCCGAAGGGCGAGCTGGACCCAACTCGGACCATGGGAGTCCACACCCAAGATCCTCGTGCGAGCAAGGACTTTTGGCCATGCGAAGGACATCACGACCCCAAGCAGTACTCCAACCTGCACGGGGCTTGGCTGGAATGTCAAAAATGTGCTCTTCGGATGCAGTACACTCCAATGAAGGGAGCGTCAGGTCAGAGCACTCACATGGACCTGCCTTCCAATGTCGTCCGAGCAATGGAGCACCTTCGCATGGAGGGATTCAAGGAGAACGATGTCGACTCACGCCTTGTGAAGAAGACAATTCGCTACATCGAGGGCCAAGAGCTCATCAAGGCCAAGAAGTCCGAGAAGACTCACCGCGACTTGGAGAAAAAGGAGAAAGAGAAGGGATATTCAGCAGCCAGCGCCTCCGTTCCGACTCCGGAGATTCACAACTTGGCCAGCGAAGACGAGTCGTGGGAAGAGCCAACTCCCACGAAGAAGAAGGCCGAGAAGAAGACAGAATCACCTTAGAGAGCTTGAAGGAAGATTCATTTCTCCATCCCTTTGGCAATCACCCCAGTGAGAGCAAAGAAGACATGCAGCACAACGAGCTCACACCGGATGCAGTTCTGAGGGATTTGACGGCTAGTTTGAAGTCTTCAGTTTTTGGCATTGAACAGCAGTTGAGATCGCTTCAAGAACAACGGTTTAGTTTGTGGGAGATGTGTTGTTCACCAAATTCGACTTTATCCAATGAAGTGATTCGCAATGGATTGAAAGCTCAAAGATGGACAATTGAAGAGGGTTTTGACCTTGAGAAGCCAAGAGTGTGTTGCTGAAGCGATCAATGCACTGAAGAGGGATTGTCCGACGAAAATTTGGGCATCTTTGCGTTGCACTCCTTGGACATCGACACAACACATCAACCAACGGACACCACAACAAGTGAACAATTTGCGGAGAATGCGTTTGAGATCAAGGAAACAGCTTTGGCACATCTTGGAGATTTTTCGCCAAGCACTGCTCCAGGACCCTGGGACAGATTTCTACTTTGAGTGGCCGAAGAACGCAACGGAAGGCTGGAGACTTCGTGAGTTGGAACAATTTGAACAATGGTACAATGCAACTTTTTCCAAACCTCTCTACAGAACAGTGGTCCATGGTTGTATGGTTGGTTTGTTGGATGAAGAGGGCAATCACCTACACAAGCCGTGGCAGATCCTGACAAGTGACCAACACTTCCATATACATTCTGGGATTACATGTGACGGACAACATACACACAAGAGTATTTTGGGTTTGGGAACACACGCAGTTGCAAAAAACAGCTTTTTACCCTGTGAAGTTTGCGAAGAGAATTGTTCAGGTTTGGAAGCACGAGCAATTCTCAGCATCAGAGCCCAAGATTTTACAATCATTTCACACGATGGACCAGGCTCAAGATCCTCATCTACATCCTGACCGTGCACTTCAAGCTTTTCAGATTCTGGAAGATGCACATCCGGTCGAACGCAAACGTACACACACTGAAATGCAAGATGGGGAGATGGAGACAGATCAAGCAGCATAAGACGAAACTCTGGAACAAGACCAAGCAGTTTCAAATAGTCAAGATGGTAGCAGCAGACTTCCTGAAGAGAAGAACGTGAAAAAGGTAAAGTTCTTTTGCATTGACTTCACAAATCCGCAGGTCATCCTTCAAACCAAAGTCTAGCCCGACTGATTCGAGATCGAAAACTACCTGGATGGCTAGTGGATGAAGCGAAGAAACTGCAATGCGCTCAATGTTCTGAGGTACTCCCTGGAAATCAACTAGTTCTTCACCGTTCCATTGGAGAACATCCGAGACCTTGGCAGATGGTGGGTATGGATGTCTTCGAACTACATTTTCCATCGCAGAGAGTTAAGGGACTTTTTCTGTTGATGACATGTCTTGCAATAAAATTCACAGCGGTTGCAGCACTTTGGATTGGGAAACTTTCACAAACTGGAACTGACTCTGGTGAGAAACTGATTTCCACGTTTTGTGATGTTTGGCTACATCATCGTCCTCGACCAGAATGGGTGGTAGTAGACTCACAGTCAAGTCTCATCAACGGATATTTCCCTACATTCATGCGCACAGCTGGAATCGGTATGTTAGCTTCCCCAGGTGAAGGACATTGGATTCACGGGAAGACGGAAGCTATGGTACGAACCATCGAACGTACTATGAAACGAATACGACAAGAACATCCTCTACTAGCTCCTTCGATTGTTGGCACACTGGCTTCACATGCAGCAAACCACACTGTTCGTTCTACTGTTTTTTCTCCGGTGGCCTATGGTTGTGACCCCGATGAATTAGAGAGAAAGAATGACCCGTTGCAAGCGAATGGAGAGAAGCTTTTTGGTCCTAGACATTTCAAAGAATTTCAATCCATGCGTGCTCGAGCAGGTGAACTTTTCCGTGAAGAATCTGCACGTCAAGTTGTGTCTCGACTATGGAATTCTGCTCTTCGACCTTTGATAGGTTATCAGGTTGGAGACTTTGTGATGATTTGGCGCACCATGACATTGAAAGCACGAAAACGGGATGAAAACTACAATCCAGAAGCAATATTTTTTGGACCAGGACGAATTGCATTGATAGAGCCTACAATTTTGGAAGACGAGCGGAAGGCTATCATTTGGGTTCTTTGTGGAACAAAACTGTATAGGTGTGCACGTGAACAACTAAGACCAGCAACTGAACAAGAGACAGTGGTTGAGATTCTGAGATCTGGTGAGATTTTGTCGAAGCCTCGTACTGAAGTTCTTTCACGACTGAAGAATTTCACAGATGTTTCAAAAGAGCCTTTTTCTCCGGATCATCCTGAATACCATTCAGAGGAGACGGACCGGAAGAAAGCTCGATTGGACACCGTGTCCGCTCTGCGTGCCAGGTGGGAACAACTGGTATCGATTAACCAGAACCGGCAGCAGGAAGGACTTCCTCCATTGATGCAGCTTCCAACCCAAGTGTTGGAACAAAGTCCAATGATGTATACTTTTGAAGATTCTGATCCACAACATGTTGAATGTTCACCCGGAGTTCAAACAGCAGAAAACAGAGTGAGGAACATTCATCTTCTGGATGAAGAAACGCAGAAACTGGTTTTGGAGAGAATCCACATGCTGGAAGAGGAAGTCAAGATGAAACAAGAGACAGCGCAGCTTCACAAAATGATCACTCAGGAACGCGAAGATGAAGCTCATTTCCTGTCCTTCATCCAGGATGACTTCCAGAGATCCGAGAAGGACCGTCAATGGGTCTTCCAGATTGAGTTCGACGTTTCGGAAGAGATTGCTGATGCTAATCAGTTTTTGTACGGGGAGCGTGCCTTGGAAGGGAACAAACACGTTGAGATCACCTACAAACAACTGTCTCCAGAGCATGTTCCTTTGTGTGATGAAGCAAAAGCCAGAGAAGTCGCTGAAGTTTTGGGTTCAAGGGCACTTCGCGCAGTACAATCCAAAGAAGAACTGAAAGAAGCTTTGAGTCATCCTGAACGCCATATTCCCATGAGATGGGTCCTTACTTGGAAACCGATTCAACCTCCTGAACCTCCGCCTCCAGGTAAACCCACTTCAGTGATGCCAAACGGTAGTTGTAAAGCTAAAGTTCGGGTAGTACTTCTAGGGTTTAAACATCCAGACCTTGTGAAGAGAAATCCAATCACAGGTCAGCCAGAACTTAAGACAGCAGCACCGACCATTTCACGCACAAGGAGAAACCTTCTACTTCAGTGTTTTGCTTTCGATGAACATGAGATTGAATCTGCCGATGCTAAATCTGCATTTTTGCAAGCTGCTAATTGTGAAGAAGATAGGCGCTTGTGGACGAAAGCAGTTCCAGAGATTGCAGTGTCTCTTGGACTAAAACCAGGGCAGTTGATACGTGTCTTGAGTGCCATTTATGGCCTTACCAATGCTCCTCGCATCTTTTGGCAAGATGTTGATTTGAATTTCCAAAAGCTCGGTGGGATTCCTCATCCCATGGATCGATGCATATGGGTTTTTCGTGATCCTGAAGGGTCGGTTTTTGCCAGAATCGGTAGTCAAGTAGATGACTTTCTGATGGCAGGAAATCCCAAGAATAAGTTTTGGATTGCCTTGAGAGAAAAGATAAAGGGTAGGTATGTATCAATGGAGTCCTTGGAAAAAGGGTGATTTTGTGTATGGCGGACGCCGAATTCGCCAACTCACTTCCTACTCCATCCATGTCTTGCAAGAAGATTTTTGCAACTCTTTGTCTCCTGTGGCAATTCAATCAAACGGCTCTCGCAGTGACAAAGATCCGATGACCCCATCGGAAACTTCGCAAGCTCGGGCGCTTTTGATGAAAGCGCAGTGGCGATCTTTGCAGAGTGCTCCTCAATACGCTGCTCGAATTGGCATAGCTTCTTCCACGTTGTCGGATGGGAAACTGGCAAACTTGAGAGAAGCAAACTCTATCATTCGAGATATGTGTAAGACTGCCAAAAATGATCTGGTTTTTCACAACTTCAATTTTGGAAGAACGAATAGATTGAAGTACATAGATCTTGTTTTCTTGCATTGGGGCGATGCTGGACACAATAACAGGCCGACAGGTGGTTCGACCGGCGGGTTTGTTTCTGGAATTTCTTCACCTGAAATCTTGAAGGGCAATGAAACGCCCGTAACCTTGATTGATTGGAGATCCTGGAAACTTCGACGTCCTGCCAGAGGGACGAACTGCTCAGAAGCACAAGGAATTGCAGAAGCTGAAGACAAAGGCTGGAGAACCAGACTTATGTTTGCAATCCTGTACGGACACACCCTTCGACTTGGGAAGGCAAACACTCTGACTTCCATGTTCACGAGTCTGTTGATTATGGACTCTCGCGGGTGCTACGACTTACTGGTGAGCAATGAATCTCTTGCCATGTCAATGTCAGACTCTAAAGCTGCAATAGATCTACTTCATGTCCAGGAGGGAATACAAGATGGTACAAACTGTTTCGCTACGTGGGTGCCTTCAGACCTCAACTTAGCTAATTCGCTCACAAAAGCTTCCATGGATGCATATAGAGATATGAAGCTGTTTAAAAGCTGGATAGTGAAGTTCAACGAAGAGTTCATTTCTGCTCGTAAGATGCAACGACTGCGAACACAAAAGAAGAAGGAAGAGCAGAAACAAGGCCTGCACTTTGCAGATATGCCAGAAGTTTGGATGGATGATGCAAGACCAACCTTTTTGCCACAGCTTATCTAAGATAAGCGGTCACAGATATCTTCTCTTCAATTCCAAAAGCACTGAATCTGTGCCAAGTTGAGAGGAGTTTCATTGGTGTTTCATGAATTGTGTGAAGCCCGATTTTACCAACCTTAGCACATTTCAGTGGTCTACGGAACCACAGGTGCAGGGTGCTCAGGTTCTCGTCCGCAGGGGCGCCTCTTGAGCTCAGACTTAGACGGAGCGTTAAAAGGGTGGCACGGACCGCCTAAGCCATGTTTTGATCCTCCTTGTTTGACCTCGTCTTTCCGCTTTCGCACGACGTTCACAACCTACGCAACTTGGCGGTTTGACACATCATATACAATGCTTTTGACGGAATGCGCATTGGTGAAGTAGGCCGAGCCGCAAATTCTTAGTATCAAATATCTGTCTCGGTAGAGTGAGTCCTGCTCAATTGTCAAACTAGGATGTATTCTTTTGTCAATCAACATGCATGGCAGATCCAACATCGTCAGAAGGAATCGTTTGGAAACCATGTGCTCGATGGATCACTTTGCCTCTGAAACATATCAGTTTGTAGACATCATGCTCGGGTTTGTGCTCCTTGGACTTTTGGCACCCGCAACACTTACTGTATATTTGAGTCTCCCTGCCGCTATAGCCGGGTATGTGACCTGTCACTGTGTTTGACTTACAGTACTTGCAGGATTTGGAGGAGCGTCGCAATGTGTCGGCAAGAAAGAACACGCGGAGCAAAGTGACTCCAAGGAGGCATGACACTTCTACAGCAAGCTTTGTCAATTGCAAGTAGCATGCTGTCTTCTCATTGGAGGCCATCGCTATTGTTTTAGTATAGGATTAAATGGTTATGTCATATATTTTTCCCTTTGCCCAACAGTAACACAAGCAAGTCGCCTCTGGGCCCACCACACTTCCAGCTGAACGCCTTGGTTGGAATGAATAAGGGCTCGAAGTCATATATTTATATATGTGCGTATTTACATATGTATTAGCAAATTTAGCACTGATCCCTCTCCATTCCCATGTCATAACAAAAGGAAGTCAAATGGAAGCGGTCAAGACTCACCTATTGCCACACAGGCCATGTTAATTATGTGACTTGCTTGAGAGATGATTCAAGATCGGCGAGAAAAGTGTCAAAGCCTGAAGCAATGGCAAGCAAATCAAGTGCCTGGCAGGCTGCGGGGCGTCGCCTGGCAAAACTCACCCAAACCGATGTGATGAAATAGGTCGAATTTCGGAAAGACTCACCAAAAATCCCGCTAGGGCTGAAGGGATCTAAAAGTTCCCTGCTCTGCAAGATCAGGCAGTCGTAGACGTAGCCTTTAAGGCTCTTGACACCATGTTGGTTGCACAGGGCAAATCGCTGCCCCATATTTGCCACCTCTGGCACCTGCGCACTGGGCAACTGAAACTGATACTGAGACAAACTTAGACTGCTTTTTCATTTCTGTTGCATATGTGTGCATGCTGTGTGCATGATGGGTGGTTCGCGGCTTTTGTGTATCAACTTGCCAATATTTAGGACGTGTGAATACGTGTGACATGTTTTGCAATGGCAACTTTTTGTGCCTTCATTCGTGAGACTCTTGCCTTCCCCGGAATGTAGCCGGAGTAGCCAGGCACTGCATATCTGCTCCGAGATGTCAAGGGATCCTCAAACGAGTAAAAGCCTCATGATCAGAACATGTGCTTGGAATTGCTTGGTAAGGGCCATTCACACAAGGCATCATCTGCTTGGGAAACTGTTGGGCACACCCGAGCCGCAAGGCAATACCGGAAGTGGTTGCAATACTTCTGTCATGCATGCAAACTCTTATCCCTTCATTTGTGACGACCACATTGTATACTACACCTATATAGCCCATGATAGCCCATGTACCTAAACTTGAGTTACTTTGTCTGCCATATGCTGCAATGATGCCAAAGCCTCGCTGACAACCGATGCAGGCCTCAGCATGGCAAGGGACCAGCTGCCAAATTGGCTGCGTGGGTGTGCTTCATGCACTGACGCCTCTTGCACAATTGTGAGGTGTGCATAGCATTCAACATCCTTCAACTCACAGCTGGGGCAGGTTGTACATGGGGCAGACTGACACAGTTTTATACAATCAGTTTGTGACCTTTGTTGTCATTCTTTGCACACAATCATGGAAGGGAATCGAGCGTAAGGTGGCAGGACTCCCATCCAAGACCCTAGCATGGCGGAGGCTCAACGTGCTTTTGCAAGGCCTCGCGGCAAGAAACGTCTAGTCTATAGAGCCCTAGAGTCTGAGGTCAGCGTTCCTGCACTCGATTTGTCGGCCTTGCACGGAAAGGTGCCCAGCTGGTGCTATACAACATCGTTCCCACCTATTCAATGCAGCCTATATAGACGGGAACAAATGAACCGAACGACAGCAGAATCTGACTGGAATAAGGTTCTGCCAGGGTCCGTGTTCGGGTCCCCTGGCGGTGCCTATGTGCACGGGAAATGCCGTTTGGATGCATGTGTGCGGACATTTGCACAACATTAACCTCATGTCTATCATCATCATCATCATCATCATCATCACCTTCATCTTTAGCACTATCATCATCATCATCGTCATCATCGTCATCGTCATCATCGTCATCATCGTCATCATCGTCATCGTCCTCCTCCTCCTCCTCCTCATCATCATCCTCATCATCGAGATACTTGATTTCCAGGCCGCTGATGCGAGCTTGTGCCGCAACAATGAAACCCCGAAGAAGCGACAGAGTCCCAGCCTTTAGCTCTCTTGAGGTGCAAAGTGGGCCATCAGTCTTCTCGCATAGACAGAGCGATTCTTAGAGCAATGTCCGCTCTGCAAGCTCTGCTGTTGCTACACCGGTCTGTGCGCTCACATGAGGTGTTAGCTCGAATTGAAATTTCAGCGGCGAATCCTTGCTTTTGGAACTTTGGTTTCTTGCAAGTTCGATCTACATTACATTTACGCTATTTTAGGCCTTTCTCTGTTGAAACATGTTGAAACACTGTGAATCACCATCACCTGGCTGCAGGAATTGCTTCAAACGGCTCTTACCTTTGCTTTCAGGCTTAAATGGCTTGTGCAGGAAGCAATTCTTTGTATATACATTTTGCACAAAGCTAGAACTATATATATATACTGAAACACAAATCCCCGTCGTGTAACCTTGTGAGCGAAATGGCAACCCCCAAAACAGAGTTTGAACATTGCCACCTTTTATCTACTTCATACAAATCTCTGCTTTTTAGACTTCAACAAACTTCAACAGGCCATTGTTGCGATGCTTGGTCTTGCATTTCAGTCAGTTCAACTCTTTTGGCATCGTGGCAACCTGTCCATTAGAGCGTCTGTGAAACTCGCATCACGAAAGGCTCTGGCTCTTTGCCTCAATATGCCTTGGTTGGAAACTACCTTTATGTCCTTCGATCAGCTTTGATCCGATCCTGCACACCGCCCGGTTATACCAGTTGTCATATAATGGGATTTCATGATGTTATCGCTTGACTTGACTCTTTACACAAGTATTGCATACTTCCTCAGTTCCCTCGTGGTAGGCTGTCCAGTTCAAACTTGAAATCCGAAGGACATCAGTTTGCTTTAGGAATTTCGGCTTGCGGCTTGCCCAATGTTTTTTGGCAAAGCAAACCTCCAAAAATGATTACGTGTGCAGCGAAATAGATTCCAACATCACTCCTCGGATGCCACATCAAACAGGTCAAGAACTTCAGAGATGATCTCCTGCGATGCTGTGGCAATTTTAAGTCAAGTTGAAACTTAAGGGTTGCCCACGACAACAAACTGCCACATTTTCCTCCAAATCGTGCCCTTCAACTTCTCGATGCACAGCGACTTCCTCTGCAAATGTCAGCACGAAGTTGCCAATGGGCCACCAATAGCATGACATGTCAAAAACCACATGCAATTTTCACCCAAACCGATCTGCTCCTGGAAAGCCATATCATGCAATATTGCGTTAGAAACCACTGGTGTTCAACACCTACTTCCAAACAAAGTCAAAGCCACAGCAAACCAAGCAATCTGCTGGAGGCGTGCTTGGAAACAAAGCACTCGTTGCTCAGTTTGTTTGATTCATATTCTGAAAACATCTGCAGATTCTAGTTGCTTTCTTTTTTGGCTCAAAGATTTCATGTGCCTGACTCTGGGCTGGACAGTGCCATGAGGAATTTCCCATAGCTGGGCCATCATGTGCCGCCCTCTGAACCTGTGACATCACCAGTCAACCTTTAGTCTGCTTTCAACGTGTCATTCCCAAAAACCTTTACATGTGTTCAACTCCTTTTCAACTCCACTCTGACCTTGTTGCAAACAAAGGTATTCAACTCGTGGTGCCCCATGCAACGGCACCAAACTGAGGGCCTGTATCACTCAGCATTCATTTCCCTTCTGGGTGACCGGTTGTGCAAATGGTGAACATCGTGTCCAATGTTTTTTCGCCACGAACTCAACTCTTGCTTGCTCAACCCTAGTTTAGGTTTCCCAGTGCCAGCTCGCCATCAATGTTGAACCCTGCTGACATTGACAAAGAGCTTGGGCATGCTGCAACAAGTATGCTGGCCAGTGCAAGTTGGGCCTTTGCCAAGTTGACACTGTCGCATTGGGACAATGTATGCACGCATGTACAGACCGACATACATGACATACACACATGTGTATATATATGTATATATCGTTTTAATGTTAAACCTATCTATATATATATTTATATATGTCCACTCCCCAGAAAAAAATGGAATCGTTATAAAGGAAGCCGACCTTCCCCTACATTTGCGGGGAATGACCATGGGAGGGGAGGGAAGCAGCACTTCCAGCTAAGCCAGGGTTGCCTGCATTTTCATAGGTTGGGTGCTAACACAAAAACGCGAGATCGAACGCCCACACGCGCTTTTTTCCCGCTAATGGCCTTGAGCCAAAGTCCGCATGAAAGTCTGTAAGACCGGAGCCCTTTGGTTACCTGGCACGTGTGAAACTGGACCTGCATTTTAGGGTTATGACGCCGCCTTCGACTGAAGATCTGTAACCTCACGCTCGTTTCCAAGATCTGTAGCCCTGCTCTGCGGAACTCCTTTTGAAGTTGTCGCAAGTCTCACCTTCGGCTTCGCTTGCACCGGCAATAAAACAACCTGTGATGTCTCAACTGTTGCCTTCGATGGCACCGAAATGACCTGTGTTGTAAAAACTGGACCAATCGGTGGCGCCGGCTTCGCCTTCCGGGCAGGCGGTTCAAGAACGGACGAAGATCCTGCTCCTTCCTCTTCGGACTCAGTCTGTCCCCACTCGCGCAGCGTAGGCGTGTCCGCCAGGAAGAACAAAAGGATATCTGTTCGAATAAAGCCCTTGTGCATCCCCTCTTGCAAATGTCTCAGCTTTTGGCTGTGCCCTCGCCTCCCGCCTCTCGGTGCGGGTACGCAGCGCCAAAGAGTGTCGCCGATCAACTCAGTCCGTTCGACACCTGTATCGGCGTACGAAGTAATGGCTTCGGGCACAGCCGTAGGCTGGGGAGCCTACGGCTGATAACCACACCAACGCGAGATCGAGCGCCCACACGCGCTTTTTCCCGCTAATGGCCTTGAGCCAAAGTCCGCATGAAAGTCTGTAAGACCGGAACCCTTTGGTTACCTGGTTATTCCCTTGCACATGAGGGACACAGTCCTGTCATGCATGTGTGAAACTGGACCTGCATTTTAGGGTTACCGTTTGGTGGTGCACTTCTTCTCTAACAAGGTAAATTAATATCTAGAAAAACACTTCTTGGTTTGGCTGATGGACCTGCTTCCTTGCAAGTTCTGAAGAGAGTAATTACGCCAGTGGCCGGAAGCATCACAAAAATGCTTGGCTGCGTTTAATATATATATATATAATTGATATATATATATATATGTATATAATCCATCAACTAGCCTGCCTCACACTCTGCAGCATCTCCCAAAGAAATGGCCGAAGGAAAAGGCTGAAATGATGGTGTCAACCACACTCCATCAGGGCAGGTTACACCAACCATACCTTCTTTCTTTGCTGAGAGTTTGCATGGGTTGTGAGAGTCAGCTGCCAGCATATCCTCTGCAGAAGTCGATATGCCACCAGTTGCGCCATCCTCTGCCGCGGGTTTTAGAGACAGTCTGTGATTCAACAATGTAACAAACAAGGTGTATGTTATATAATCATTGGTGATCAGGCCCTATCAAACGTGCCAAGTTCCAGTCCAAGGCATGGCTTTGCATCCATTGCAACATCCGGAGTTGCGAAACGCAGGTTGGTTATGAGGTTGTATGTGCTCATTTGGGGGGTACCAAAACTTCTCCAGGTATACACCAGGATCTGAAAGGCAAAGTGTATGCCCGTGGGCTCAACACGCGAGGATGGTGTAGCGGGAAAACCTTTTCTGCTGGCTACCTGGATTTGTGACACCACGCCGAACAAACAACTCTCTTCTAGAAGTGAGCTATGACTCTGACATCACAAAAGGGGCAAACTTGGTCTAATGATCCCAGTGTTCAGCATGCCCATGTCCCGACCCGAGCCTGCCCAAGTGTTGGCACATTCAAGTTCGGCAGCATGGAGATTTTCATGTCCAAGGCTTGCCAGTCATGCTCGGTGCATCCAGCTTGCATTGCATCCAAGGCTTGGTGCGGCTCGAACATGCTTTCGGTTGAAGGCGCGCTCTTGCCTCGAAAATGTCCCGAGTTTGCCACATCATCACCCCATGGCACGGTGCAACTCTTTGCTGTCAAGCCCTCTTGACCTCTTCCTGCAAGTGTTGGGCTGCTTTTCTCACTCTGGATGACCAAGCGCAGTCTCTTCTTATCACACTCTGAAAGGAGTCGCAGTCTCAAATCGGCCAAACAATGCTGTGGATCTTCTCGCATCTCCCGCTGGGAAACCTGCGAGCTCTGCAAAAGCTCTTCAGTCCTCCTTGGGCACCGCACAGTGCAACAAACACTAGCACCGTGACTTGTTCCAACCAATCAAGGACGAAACCTGTATATAACAATAGATGCCCCAGCTCAGCACTAACAAGCATCAGTAATTTCCTCAAATTACCCGGAACCTTAGTAACCTTCGGACCTAATATGCATAGACACATAGAAAACTGCAACATTGCACAAATGCATAAAGGACATGACATAGCAATACAACTTGAACTTAATCCCTAGAAAGCCTTGCAGTATGTGCTAGCTTTGTATTTCCCTCTACTGGATAGACATGATACAAGAATATACAAGAGAGATACAGTAATTGACTGACCACTCCAAGGAACAGGCCCCTGGTGGCTTGTGTCCGTCTCCAACGACTGGAGCTGGCAGCTCTTGCCGTTGCTTCCTGTATCCCATCCAAGTGCCAACGTGGAACTGCAGCAGCTGGGGACCTCCAAACCAACAATCAACAGCTCACGGCTTCTGTGTTGATTGCCATTGAATAGGCAATCTCACAAAGCCATACAGCTCATCATGCCCTAATAACTCATGACTTTATCCAACGAAGCTTGAAGCCATCAATTGGTTCCTTTGGGTATCAGCTTTGAGTTCCAAGTCTGGGTGGCGATTTCCGGAGAGACTTCCTTCAATCAAATGTGCTTTTGGCCTTGGCATCCAGCGCTCTGCCGCCTGCAGCTCTGCGTAGGTCACTGGCGAAGAATCGTACCTGAAAACCCTCTCATTGCTTTGACTCTTGTTAATCTGGAAACTAATCAATCACCTTGTGCTTCGCGGTGGGACGTCTGGCGGAGTCTGGTGCTCTACGATACCACTTCACTTCTGCCTTTAAGCATGCTTTATGAATCCACCATCTTGCTACGGCAATGCCAAATGAAGTAGCTTACTTATAGCAAACCAGAAC